CACGAATGAGCCAAGGCGAACGTGAAATATTTTAATAGATGCTGGTGCTACCATGCAAAAGTGGGACTTCTCTTAATATAAAAAAGCTCATTCCTGATCGTTATCAGCTGTAAAAGTAACATTTTCCTCCGGGTTTCTGCCTTCTTTGGAGGTACGCAACATGCGATCGAGTTCCGCGGCCGCATCTGACGGTAAAGGGCTACTCTTCTCAACTAAAAACATAGCACGGTGACGATTAAGTCAAAAATAATAAACGCATAACTGCCACTTCGCGGAGGGGTGAGGCTGGTGTTCAGTGAGCCGCCAGACTTCTTGCTAAGGAGGTTGTTGAAAAACTGGGCCAATGCACCTTCCTGTACCGGAAGCGAGCCCTGAGACGATAGTTTAGGAGTGCTTTCTGACTAAAATAATTCATTCTTACATTGCACGTTAGGTTAGCTTAGATCTACTCTCTTGACCAAAAACATTTAAAGGTGTGACACTCATGCCCATAAAGATAAAGAAGCAAAAATTGACAAAAGCTTTGGAAGCAGGGCTAGAAAAATGTTGGTTAAAGAAGCAGGTTCGTTGAAAAATTAGGCGCACCGTCCAAAACGCGTCTACACATGAATAAACAAACAGATATGCAAAAGCCTTTTGACAAGAAACAACTATCAGGCACATCTGGCAGCCTGTCAGATTCTGGCCTTCTGTGCATATCTATGTGCAGCGGGGCTTGCTTTCATTTGAAGTGAGGTAAAACGTTTAGCCTGTTTCGGTGCAGACAAAAACTTACTACGCAAAAAATGCACTGGTGGAAAACACAGTGTCTAGTTTCGTACTTTCTTTCCACATATAACTGCGCTGCGTCCGTGCACCAGAACACTGGTTTATTTATCATAATGCGATGTAACGCTTTCCTACCTATCTATCTGACGGTTTATTGATATACTTATCTTTTTACCTGTTAATCTAGTGGTCCATCTGCCTGCCTAACTATCGATTTACTTATCTCCAGCCTGCCCGTCAATATGCGTGTTTACTTATCTATGTCCACTGTCGGTCTATTTGTCCATCTACTGGTCTGTCTGCCCATCTGCTTGTCTGTGGTCAATCGCCCATTTCTTTGTCGTTAATTTACCTGACTGTGTACCTATTTAACTATCCATCTTCCTATTTGCTTATCCATCTATCTATCCTTTTGTCTATCAGTTCAAAAGTCTGTCTGTCTAACTCTCTAGCTTATATCTATTTAGATATCTATCTGTCTATCTACATATCTGTTTATATATGTATCTGCCTACATATCTGTTTAGCTATGCATGTTTATCTGTACATATGTCTGTCTATTTCTCTACCAGAATGTCTAACCATTTGTTTGTTTCTGTCTGTCGTTTACCCATTTCTATATTTGAAGTAACTGATCTAACCGATCACGTTATTTACCAGTTGAAAGTCTTCTGTGAGGAAAATATAATTTTGCACTAAACCGTGTGAATTCCTCATTAAAATTCCATTCTAGTGACTGTGCAAGGTCAAAAAGTCAACTTACAGTCCTGCAGTCACGAGTTTATATTTATATCATTGGATGCGATGCAGCTGTCAAGCTCGTGACTGTTAGTGTTAACACTGACATAGTGAACTTTCGTAATCGTAACAGTGGAATCGTTAGTCCGTGAAACTGAGGAAATGTGTCGAAAGTTTAATATTATGCTCACATAGAGCTTTCGATCGATCTATAAGCGAGGGGTCTTAAATTAAGTTACTGAGAACAGATTACTAGCTCAAATTATATAAAATGAAATTCCTGATTTAATGACTGCGCGCTGATTTAGTCACCTAATGCAATCACAGCGATGGAATCAAAAAAATGAATATCGCCTACATTCACATCTTTTAAAAGAGAGCATTTCATTCATAGGCAACGTGAGAAGTCAAATATTTGATACACCAAACCATCTGACAATGATATGAACTGAAATACGCCACCACATGACTGTACCCTCACTTAATGATGTTGCACAGTGACTACAATGGAGCTGTAATCAAAAATAAATAGAAGCTTTCCATTTACATATAACATGGCTGATTAAATGAAGTCCTGATGCAGCTATCCACCGTCCATTTATACAGATTCATAGCTAGGACTGCAGGACCGAGCGATGACAACAACCACTGGCCTGCACCCAAGCAGCTTCCGCCAAAACGACCCTTTTCTCGACAAATTGTGCCACTCATGCTGGATATTACCAGAGTAAGACGCGAAATAAAATTTTTTCCTGTTTCATGCGTCAAATAATAAAATCATAGATTACTTATAACTGATTATCTTCTTCGGGCATCGAATTGGTGAAAAAACAACATCGTTAAATACCGATACGCAGCATAGATTGCATGGCAATGTCAAAAACAAGAGATCAACGTTTTAGTTTTTATTAAATTTCGTTACCAGCTTTTAACGAAATAGCAATTATCAGCATTAAATCAAACAATCAACTGAACTGAAGCAAATTAAACAGTCAGCACAAGGTGTCAAAGGAGACAATGAGCAAATTAATTAATTCCCATGCTCCAGAGATGTCAATTGAACTGATTATTAGTTGCTGATCATTTGTCTCACTCAACTGATGATCATTTCCTAGGCACTGACATCAAAGAACTGTTCTGTACGGTGATTCAAAACGGCGCTTCTACATTCATTACTTCGTACTTTTTAAGTTTCGAAAAATAAACTTTCAAATATTAAATTCAATGGAGTAAAGATTGTAAACTCGAATGTGAGGGCAATCAAGTTTTGTAAAATGTGGATGAAAATGTGAGTTCCTTTGAAAAAACAGGCTAACTGTGGACTTTCTAATAATAGGCAAACTTCTTTACATATTACGGAAAAAAACGTAGCAATAAATTCACTGCTAAATTCCATTAATTCATTCTAATATTTATATTCCAGGACTAAAACGAACGATAACGGGAACAGTGCATTCAATTTCAGAGACCTGACAAAAATAAGGTTAAGAGAAAACAAAGTTAACTTAATTATCTGGATATTTATTTTGAAAGGTGGTGCAAGAAGGTTCAAAAAGCAGATAAAATACAGTACTTAAGATGCAAGCGTTTCGTATTATTAATGAAAACTGAACAGAAGGAGCAAGAACAGGAGTTTCAATAAAATGAAAATGTCAAGGAGTTATGGTTTATTAAACAGAGCCAGAACATCAAGAAAATATATTATTGTAGACCTGCTCCGAGGCAAATCTGGTAGTGATCAGTAGCACATGAATCATTAATTAGAGATAGTCAGTCTCGATAACCGCATATTCTTTCGGGTCGCGGGTGTAGACGCGACAGAATGTCTCCAACGTTCCTGATCACGTGGTAGCATTTAAGTTTCAGAATAAGATAATCTGAGCCTTTGGAAGAACAGAATCCTTCCAAGTGACTAGAGAAGTGGCCGAAGAGAACGCTGATTCCTGGTAAAAGTTCGGTGAGGTGAAGGGATCCAATTTCCAGAGAGCGAAGAAAGTTCTGGCAGGCCATCCGCCGACTATGTGAAAGGAAGGGCAGTCTAAGAGTATTGAAAGACAGGTCTGTATGCCCGTTTACTGATGACAAAGACATACTTCGGCAATGGAGAGAGTACTTTGAGGAACTCCCTAATCCCGAGCAACTGCAGGAAGGCTTGCCTGAAGAGCAGCAGGCAACGGATATCATAAATCATATTTATACTTTAAGTTTCAAAAATTAAATAGACGGAGCATTTATGTGCCTTAGAAATTGGAACTGTCAGAATCACTTATAGATGATTGGCCCTGAAAGTCTTTACGACATAGCTTCTGTATGAAAAATGTGAAACGAAGCAACCTAGCCCTTCGATAGAAAGACCGCGAAAGTTATAACGGATTTCAGCTCCATGAACACTGCGCATCAAACATCATTAAAGAACAAAAGACATGCAAATAGCGAGATTCTATGTAAGCAATGCGTTACCTTCCTCGGCGGTGTCTGCAGATTCGAAGGAGACACCGACTTCCGGTCACCTAACTTCGCCGAGGCAAATGGGCTTTCCTACAAGCGACACTTAGCAGCATGCATAATAAAGAAATGCACAGATAGACGAAGGCGAAACGGAATCAGTCGACACCAAGCGTAACGTGCACCGAATGTGTTTGAAAACTTACTTGTCGATGAGTAGTCGGTGTGGTTTGCGACGATGGCGTGGTCGGCGTCGTCAGCAACACCTGCAACTTCGAAAGAAAAACTTGGTCATCCTCCGCCTGCACCAAGGCATCTTTCGACATCGGCTGAAAGCAATTATCGCATCGTCAACTTAGGGCAAAAGCTGTAAGAAACCGAAGTCGGATACCCTTTTGAAAGCGGGCTTTTTCACATGTTCCTCGAAGCTGTCTTCTGGTTTAAAGCTGATCAGGTTTTCGCACAGAATGCCAATTTTTTTCTCGTTATCCCAACCAGCGGGACTAAACAAGATGCACGGAGAACATCAGTGATGGAAAAGTCTGGATAAAGGACAGACGTACATAAATATACTGTCTTTCTCAGGAATGAAGGCAGGCTGTGTAAAGGGAAAACCATACACACGGTGCAAAATATACTTATATAGCGTTTCACAATGCCTCGTCTCTTTAACGCTCGTATAAGCCAGGGCTGCGCCATCTGAAATGAAAATTTTGAATTTTAAACTAACGCAGCAAAACGCATTCTTTCATATGATGTAAAAAAGCGACTGAACAGAAACGATGGCTTGCGTTTAGGAAAGCTATATCTGAATCATGTTTGACATGGTTATATTAATGTTAATGTTATCAGACTAAACAGCTTATTGAAATGCTGGGTAGCACAAAATATCCCTATAATAGTTTTTTTTCACATATGATATACTCTGTCTATTCAGTTTGCTTTCTGTCACAAGCTCATATCATTTATCAGGTGGTGTTCAACTTACTGAAGGGTGGAAATCACAGTGGTAATAATATGCAAGAGACATGCCAAACGATTACAGCCACGGCAGCGATTATGCATTATTTTTGTCCATTATTCCGATGTCTTTATGTCCTCTTTCCAACTAGTTTTCCCGCCCATGTCAAGAAGAGTGGACAGAGCAAAGATCGCATGCAACGCCACTATTTTTTGAGTTTGAATTCACTGGTAATTCGGTTAGACCTGGGTTGAAAGGAAATTCATGAACTCTTGGTCGGCAGATTTTTAAGTTTGTAGCAGAACGAGCCGCGAAATGGTTTCCGGTGTAATGATCAATGATGAAAAGTTAAGCTAATACGTTTAACTTGACATTCAGTACAGTGATATTTTGGTCCTTTACTTCTGAACCTGCACACCTTTGTCGAGAAACTGTTGCCCTACTGAATCCCACTACTGTAATTAATCACAGTCACAGTTTCCAAGTTTTCTGATTAGCATCGGGGATGCCTTACATCAGTCGAAGATGACCTGAACAGGTAGTGTTGCTGCGTGAATGGTGCGTCTACTTGGCCTCAAAGTTAGCACCAGGAAGAAAATATGCTCAAACATTTAATGAAGAAGCTGCGCTATTATAAAACTGGATACCATTTAAGTAACAATAATTCTATCAATACCGAAGCAACCGCCAGCATCGAGGCTCAGATTTCATTACATATCATAAGCCATTCTTTCGATATGTTTTTCAACAAGCATAAAAACCACAGTACAAGAACAGAGTGTACGCAAATAACTAAACAAAAAAATGATCATGAATGACCACTATAAAAAAACAATACGTCTATGCTTTCAACCTACTAGAGTACACCCAGAGACTAATCATAAACCCTGAAAAATTATATTAATCATGTAGCTACCAAAGGGTGATACCCCTATCGTACATATATGGCAAATTTGAGTTGGGAAGGAATTTACTGGAAAGAATTACCAATGCACATAGTTCGACTTGTAAACATGGCATCCTAGCCCTCTTCCCTTAATTTGTTGTTTTTTTTTCTTGTATTTTCTGATACTATCAAATGTGAAGTGACACGGCTTCCTTTGGAGTGAGGTCTTCTTTTCATAAATCTCAACTAATAGGACCCGCTTTAAGTATGCTTTTCTGTCACTGGAGCTCACCGTAATCGCAGTTATGAAAATGCTTTGGATGTAGTCCTTGACGAAATCACTGAGTCATCAGAAACCTTCACTATATGAATGATTTCAGCTGCCACCCATGTCTCCACAATGTAGTCCAACATTCTCCTCGATAAAACCGTACTGGTTTTACTAGTGTCCTGAAGTTATACTGATTAGCAAGAACGTTACTGCATGACTTTACTGAATGTTTCTTGTCGCATAGCACATCGGTTCGGCACTCATTCTTGCATACAATGATTAGTCTTATTTCCAAAATTTTTAAATTTATTAAAATATGCAAATTAATTACGAAAGCCTCCAGAAACGAAAGCTAAGCAACTGTTTCTTGCCAAACCGACCGACAGAAAGCCCAGGGGATGGCCGAGCTTAATCTGGCGCTAATATATAGAAGGAGTCTTTTCCAGACTCCAGTTGTCTTCCACCAAAGTTCAGACTATGGCACATGATCGGGAACGCTGGAAGCACTGTCTGACGCGTCTGCCTTCGCGATCCGAAAGAAGAAAAGGCTTTGGAATTAAGAATCCCTTATAATTAATTAGTTATCTTTTTGCGAAGAGAAATTAAATTACTGTAAAACATCGCTCTAGCAACAAAGAGATGCAAGACTTGGATCCCAAGGAAAGTAAACTGCTCACGGAACGACCTTCAGATCGATGGCAGGATAAGCTGAAGAAGTTCACTTGATCGAGGATAATGAAAATCGCTGACAACAGAAGCCATGGCAATCTTTGAGCGAGTCTTCATGCAAACAGTAGATCAAAAGATTGATTATGAACGATCAAGCAAAGACATACACCAATACCTTCAAATTCACAAAAGAATGAGCAATAAAGCAACGGCTCTTACAATTGAGACAGAACTTCCGCACGTGCATCAAAATGAAATCGAAGAGTTCATCCTTCATGTCATATTCTTGTTCCAAAATATCCATCGAATCGCACTACACACAATTATATGTTGTTTTCATTTCGATAGGCTGATGGCGATCATGAAAAAAGCTACCTTCGTCATTACGACAATCAGCGGCAATCCGATGTTGTGAATCAGGGCCGATTCACCCAACGGCAAAAGAATCTGTTCCGTTTCCATGCTGGGCACCTTGCTGCCAAAATCATTGTGAGAGCTGCTATCTAATGGTTCGACGTATTCTTGCCAAAACCGCTTCTCTGAAACAAAAGAAATTTGGTCAGCAATAGAGCACGTTTGTTGCACCGCATCGACTTACGTCTTTCTTGGCAATCTCGAAGAAGGTCTGCGTCGTAAAGCCCAGAATTTTCAACATGGTCCCTTAATACAGTCACCCATCGGTTGAGGCTGTCGAGGATAGACCAAGGCTCGGCCATTGAACAACAAATTATCGTTACACAGTGATCAAGATTTTTTGTCAACGCAAATTTAATCAAATGTGAAAATATCGGATTGCCGTCGAGCACCCAAACACCAAGTCGCGACGACTCACCTGGAGACACGTCGGGAAGAGCGTTACTTAGCTGATATGCGTAAGATCCTAAAGATTACAAAAGCTTAAATAATGAAACGTTTGAAAACAAACTTGCTTAAAATTTAAATTGTTTCAAACGAACTCTTAACTTAGACAAATTTAACGATCTTGCATCAATTTTAGTTAGTCAGCGAACGCTGCCACTTCAGGCAATACTAAGCAACTTCCGTAACGAAGGTTCTGGACTCAACGCAGAGACAGACTGGTGCAAAATTCACAAAGAAACACAACTTTAAGTGCTCTAACTAAGCAGTGGGTAGTAAGCCGTGAAGAGGCAGAGGCCCGACTATACGATATCATACACTCACCATGCCATATATTAAGTCTCCTAACCTGCCATGGTATTCTCATGCGAATGCAATGCGAACCCTCCTCTTCCTCCTCCATATCAGACCTATCAGTCGCTGAGTCAGTAAACGAAAGCACTTTCAGTTGTATCTTATATGCTTCAGTGTCCATCAGAAGTGACTGAAGCGTAAAAAATGAATAATCCCGTAGACACAGTAATAGACACTGTATAGTCTTACAACTGAAAATCGTGAGAATGGTTTACACTAAGACGCAGACAAATGGCAGGAAACTTATATACACCATATCTTCTTTTTCTAAGCAAATGCTCCTAAGCAGATATCTTCGGTCCACAGTAGTTTCTTCGACTTTAGGCCAACTCTTCTGTCATTACACAATAAATCTGTCTCCTTGTTTACAAGACTACGACACATTTTGTCGTTTCCCCTACACTTCCCTGATATTAAGTTTTTACTACAATATTACAGAGTGCATAGGTTTCCTCCTCAAGTAACTGAACCAACAGTGCCCGTGACATGCAACAGTTTGAATGGCACTGGAAGCTACGCACAGATAGCATAGATTTGTGGACGACACTTGGGTACTGTGGCCACATAAAATCGAAGAAAATGGAAGATCTCCATTTCTAAATGTCCTACGGCACCCGGACGAAGCATCCTAAAAATAACCATCATCAGAAATATACATTAAATATGGATCCCACTCCTCTGTATCTGTAACAGCTGGTTTTGTACAGACCATCTACGTGAAAAAAATTGCGGATATGTTCGAACCCCATCACCTTACAAGAACATATTAACATGCTGCTCAAAGAGCTAAGAGAAAACAGTTAGCCAGAATCTTTCATCTTCAACCAAAACGTACACGGAAGTTGAGCGGAATCGGTCTTAACCTACTGCCTACTGAAAACTCAGGCCAGAGTGATGCAAAATACTGAATACCCGCAACTTCTGTGGTTTATCCAACACGATTATGGAAAATCTCTGAAAACTGCTGTTCTCAAATCCCGAAAGGAACAGTGGGTTGCAGAAAAGAAAAAATAAATAAATTTTAATAAGTGCTTAAATTAAAAACATTCTAAAACAGTTTCAACATAGCAACCAGCTAAAGATATACCATTTTTGTAGTCCGGGTGAATATCTAGGTAATGATATTCTAAGCCAAAGCCTTTCTTCGGGTCTTCAATACCTTGTAGACGTGCCACTAGTGACGTTTTCCCTGATTCGTTGTCACCTAAAACAAACAAATAATGATGACGAATAAAAATCAGCTAGTTACTCAGGAAAAGTAACAATAGGGAAGAAATCGTAGAAATGGCAGTCGCCACTGAGCATATGCACATTTCGAGTTAATGAAATAATTATAATAATGCGTCCAAGACCGTTGCATCTTTGAGTCCAAATCACAAATTTCACCAAAGTGGACGAAGACCGAAATCGCTGGAAAAAACTTGATGCTGATGCTTCTGTACAGAAGCTGGCTGTAAAAACTGATGACATAATCGAGCATTGACTTGCCATTTGTGTCCAATCAACTAAAGCAGCTACCAATGTCATAAAGGAGAATCCTCGAAAAGTTAATGGATCGGTCCCTTAGGTTATTAGAGGCAATGAGACGACGTAACTACGCCGCACGAATCCGGGAAAGTGGCAGTATATTCAAATTATTGGTATTCGAAACCAATAATACCATGGTTTATTTTTTAGCAAACCAATTATTCTATCTGCATATTATGCAACCATGCGACATAAGGGCATATACATTACAGTGCCTTGTGACATGAACAAAGCATGATCTGGAAATGGACATTCATTAGAAAAATAATCAGTGGTCAACAAACAAGAAAAAGTGCAAATTGATTCTGTTACTCAATACATATCACTTAAGCAATGAAGCACTGAACCGTTCGAAGTTGCTGACCAGCTGGCCCCACCAATCGGCCGGCAAGGAACGAGAAAATAAAATACGTTATAGACTTTCTATTCTGTAAAAGACTTGCCATGAACCGAAAAATTTCCTCTAACGAGTTAACGGGGATAATAGAATCCTCATACGAAAAAGGAAAACGTTTAAAATGGTTTGTGACTACAAACCCGAATGGGTGGACTTGAAGCCTTCCTTCATATTTATCCACAGGAAGGGCATGGCGACATTCATTAATTCATTATGCAGT